AACATGGTCCGTGTCCACGTTTGTTGATCAGTAGGAGAGGCAGTCCCCAATGGATCCACGCCAGCGGTGGCTGATAGCGATATGGCCGATTTGAGTCCAGCGCTGTGAAGCGGTTGGCGGTCTACATGTAAGGCGGTGTCCTATCTTGTGCGAGAAGTTGGTGCTTGACAGAAACAGTCCGTGATAGGATACAAAATGGAGAGGGATTATGCCTGGTTGAAGGCGGGAAAAATGTTAACCTCTACTGTCAACACACACAAGGCACAACTTAACTGTGCTTAAATACCGCTTCCAGCATTCTGACCCGATAAGAAATGACAAGAACGTCACAGCTGCCGGTTGGTTACTATATCTTCCAGTGTCTCCAATCAACCAGTGGGAGTCTTTTTAGACCCCAACCTGGAAAGCACGAGACACTGGATTGTTCCGCGCATTTCTTCGAGCTTCGTTTCCACGTCATCTGTTGACCTCCGCGTGGTTCCTTCCAATAAGGAGCCGCAACTGCAAATAAGGTGCGGTGCGGTAGACAACAGTTGGGCATGCGCAATACGCGTCCTAACCAGCGAAGCCGACTAATCTGGATTCGATTAGACAACCGATTCTCTATCACTACCAAATACGCGAAGGACTACCTCAGTTGCTTACACGATTGTTCCATCAAACCCGGATCAAACTATGTAAACATCGATAGTCAAAGGCTTCTAGATGGCGAAGATCTTCCAAGCGCAAATTTGGGGTCTCGCAAGCATAAAGCAGAACTGAATGCATATTGGTGCACTATAGGCGACGAACAACACGAAACATCCAATCCTGCACACGCCGCTCGTGCCTTGGAAATGAGGGCGATTACTTCCTCGACTATGCCACCGTCAATTGTTACACAGCTAACCAAGTCGGAGAATCATCTCACTGCAGCTAATCATTGTTTATCATTATTATTATTATTTATCGAAAAGTTGATTTCCTCCTCCACAGCGGATGCTCCTTTCTACACACGTACACACACATACCATTTATAAAAAGCTCAAATCCCCCCGATGCTCCAATTCTACACCTATGACCGTGTTCAACGTTAGGTCATCCGGCTCATCAACAAACCGTCTTTAACTTCAAATCTGCAGTCGCTGTCCCATCGCAGACCATTTGCTACGTTATCTCTTTTCCAACGTTACTATTTTTGTTTCTGTTCTGAACTCGTTTTACCGGTTCCCACTGCCTTACTACTTTCTCGTTCATCAGATTCCTAAACAGGTAGTCACTGTCATCAAGCTTCTGTACCCAGATGTCGGAGTTCTGTTTTCTCATGACTGTTAAATTGTGTAGCACTCTTCCAAACTCAGTAATTTCAATCACTTACGACCATTTTCATTTCAAAAGCAGGAAGGAAGAATTGGTTTTCGCTTCAATGTTGACTCAAATACTTTCCCGCCTCCGAAAGCCTCTATATAGTCGGGGGTGGGTGTCTAGGGTTGCGGCTGGTCACCCTTCCATTGCCCTCGCGAAAAGCTCCCATACGACCATGCGTCGCAAATAGCCTCACTGCCTTCTCGTGGCGGTATTTTCGCACCGAGATGAGAGGGCGAAAAGCCGATATCTGGGGCTATAACCGGGTTGGTGGACCACTGGTAGTTCACCTAAGGGAGTTGGCCAAAAATACCGATTCCAAAACCAACCGTGAGCAGGCGTACGAATCGCACCTTTCCGGTTGTGGCAGTGGTCACCGGCTCGATTGGGCATCAAGGTGAATTGGGCACCTTGGACGTTTGGCCCCGTCCAAAGGGCGTATGATTCAATGAAGTGGATACCGGTCCCCAATGGACTGCGGTTTCCACACGCCACTCCGCTGCCTTTCGGGTCAGGCTTTGGCTAGCCGAAGGGTCCGGTTGTGGATCCCTCAAGAACATTTACTTGCCTTGGCCTGGGCAACCTGGCAGTATTCAACCCACATGCAAATAACGGAAAATGTTTCCTTTTTAGAAAGATTATTGCACTATGATTTGTTTGGCACAAAGCCTAGCGTCAGACATGTGTGTAACATCATATATATATATATATATATGCTCTTCCCCCATTAACGAGTTCTAATAGGTACTCGGGTCGATCCCCAAAACGCTTTTTCTTAACGTCTAATACTTATATGAAACCCTCGTGGGGGATTCGAGCCAATCAATACTTTTCCGGCAATAAAAGTTGGAGTGTCGTTCAGTTAGATACATGTGCATCATCAGAACAAAGTCCAATACATATCAGTTCAGACACTATATCGAACATGGGTGGGCATTATTCGGATTATTATCCTGCCGTAACAGAGTGCGACACCAGGGGCTCAGTGCAAGAAACTGGACTCAATCTGGCTCGATTCACTAGCCCTGTGACCTGACCAGGCCTCGTTAGTGCAAAATGCGGAGTTAAGTACCACCGGAATTCGTAGTAAATGAACAGCTACATGACATTTAGTTGACTTATTTTACGAATTTCTCATGATTGAGAAAATGGTCTACACCAACTGAAGCTCGAGAAGGAAGAGCTTCGCTTTATTCAGAACAGTCGAAGGTATAGCAAAGTACACTGTTTGTGTTTTCTAGATGATTTAACCAGCTGTTATTCTTTTCCCCGAGCTGTGTGGACAGGATAGTGGGAATCTAGAATGAACGCATACTCCGACTTCATGCTCTAAACAGGAGGATAACAAGTTCAAAACGTAAAACTAAAAAATTGCCTGCGCAGTCACTGTGCAACATTAAGGGAGACAACGGAGAAATTCCGTTAAGGCTTATATGAGGTCGTAATAGACTGAAAAACAAAGTTCTCTAAGTTCAGGGGTGAAACAAGGATTGGAAGCGTAGCAAACAATTGAAGGTTATAGGGGTAAGGAAACGACAGGAAGAAGAATGAATGATGGACGAGGGAACTAAACTTAGACATAAAGTTGCATTTGGTAGATCAAGGAAACACACGTCATCACAACAATATACCTAACTGAGCACATTAAGCACCGTGGATTGGAATAATAGACAATCGGAATGACGGAACCAGAGAAGGACTATGATATTTGTTTGCAAACAAATAATTAAACGCCTCTGGCTCATCCATACCTGGATCACGTAGGCACAACCCCAGTGAGGCAGGAGTATGTGCGCGCGCTGTTTGTCCATTAAGATTATAGTATCCCAAAGTCTTATCATCCTCCATTTCCGTGAGGTGCTTCAAAAGCATTTGATTTTCCGGTGGCACCTTGAGTATACCTTCTATCATTCGTTTCACCTCCAAAACACTGATCGTTTCTTTCGCATTTAAATGAATTGTCGTTTTCTTACGGCGAACTACCATGTAAACTTCCTGCAGAAGAAGTAAAGACCACACAAGTTAATCTCACCATAACGGAAAACCTTCGTCAAAATAATGCCCCTACTGGCGCCGCAATGTAGCGCAACCCTCAGTTCAGGTCAGGTCAGGTTGCACAGGACTGAATATGGCCGCAGCCAATCGAGCGTCCAGAATTCCTTCGATGGTATGCTCACAACGTGGGCACCCAGCACTGCTGAAATAAGAATGAGAAATAAAATCTCATCTCACCAAGTTGGCGAGTGAATTATTAGACGTGAGCATTCCATGCGTGTGCCAGTAAAAGGGGAAAAGGCATCCTAAACATTTGGCACATCTACACACGTCTACACTGCCAGTGATGGGAATAGTTCCACCCATCGCTTATCGAGTGCAGTCTTAAATGCTTGCACAGTTTGGAGGTCGACGATTTCCTTGGGAAGCCTGTTCCAACTGTCTACTATCCTATTGCTGAAAAAGTGCTTCCTCATGTTTAGTCGACACCTCTGCTTCATTAGCTTGAGCTCATGACCCCTAGTGCCGTGTTGGGGAGCTAATGTAAAGAGACTGTCCGCTTCTATCCCCGATATTCCCTTCATGATTTTGAAGGTTTCTATCAGGTCTCCTCGCAGTCTCCTTCTTTCTAATGAGAAAAGTCCTAGAGCCTCAAGTCTTTCCTCATATGTTTTTCCCCTCTGGCCTTCAACCATTCTTGTGGCCAATCTCTGCACTTTCTCTAAACAGGCAGCATCCTTCTTGAATAAGGGTGCCCAAGCCTGTACACAATACTCTAGATGTGGCCTGACTATGGCTTTGTAAACTGGAATGAAGACTTCCGGTCTTCTGCATGTTAAAACCGACCGTAGTCTAAATAATTCCCCCCTAGCCCTGCGCGCCGCTACTTGACATTGGTCAGACCACTTGAAGTTGTTCGATATTATGACCCCCAAGTCTTTAACCCTAGTGGCGGGTTCG